TAATATTAATATTAGCATGCTCTAACATATTAATATTGCATTCAGGTAACTGAAATGAGTTAGTATCTATAGTCTTAGTAAGTCTCTGTGAGAACATGACAGACCTTCCTCCGCCAGCTCCTTGTTGTAAACCAACTTTCCGTGCCGTAAATAGTTGAGGATGGGGCCAAAGTAGGTGGGGTCTCTGTCGATGACGTAGGCTCCAGTCTCATCCTGAAACAGAGAAGAAGAAACAAAAAAACACAAAATATTACATTACGTAGATGGATGGATGACGGATGGATGGTAGGGTTGTGGTTTATTAGATTAAATTTAGTTGCAATCGGTCCGTTTTCTTTCAGTGTTGTAGTTAGGCCGCCATCCAGGAGAGGGCGCCGCTGGTCATCCTGCGCGAAGCCAGAGAACAAAATGGCGGACGCTATTTAAGGGCGGGAACGAGAAACGATTCAGAGTCCGGTTTTGGAGGTAAAACTCAACTTTATGTGGTTCTGTTTTGAAATATAAACACTCGATAAACTCCTCAATTTTCACCTTTTAGCGCTTCGTTTATGACGGAGCAACGTTAACTTCTCATTCAATTATTTCTGATGTGATACGAGGTTGAGGATGTCAGAAAAGATGTAATACGGCGGAAAAACGTGATCAAAATTGATTTTGAGGGCGCTCATCAGTTAACGCACTTCATGGATGAAAGTTTTAATTCATTTAATAGCAATATGTATGAACATCTCTGTGTTCACGGGGAATTAAGTTTTTCACACATTTCATTCCATCCATCCATTTTCTATCACCCTGGTCCCTTAGTGGGTCAGGAGGTTCTGGTTCCTCTCCAGTGAACGTTCCGGGCGAGAGACGGGTCACCTGGACGGGTCACCTGGACAGGTCGCCAGTCTGTCACATTTCATTCCCCTTTGTCCTATTCGGCAACCTTAGAGATTCATATTTTGTTATATTATGAACATGTTTAGGTTTAATAATGTGAGAACCACAAGTTTTTGTCAGTATAAAATACAGTTAACACAAAATGTTAAGATTTAAGCCAATTGGAAAGATGTTTATTTTAAGAAATGGCAGTTTATCAATTAATCATTAGTCAGTATATAATTCAACATTAACTTAATTCATTAATCAATAACTTGCATCCCTGATGGATGGGTGGATGGATGGATGGGTGGATGGATGGATGGATGGGTGGATGAGTGGATGGATGGTTGGATGGATGGATAGTTGGATGGATGGATGGATAGTTGGATGGATGGATGGATGGATGGATGGATGGTTGGATGGATGGATAGTTGGATGGATGGATGGTTGGATGCTCTTC